CCCGCCCGAGCCCCCGGTCACCCCCGGATCGCGCACCCCCCGCCCGGGAAAGAACAGCGAGACCCCTCCGCACTGACACCCCCGGATCCCGCACACCCACCGGGAACCCCTCGCTCAGATCCCCATAAGAAACCTCCCGGATCCGGCACCCCATAGGGAGCCCCCAGGGAGGGACTGACAGATACTCATCTCCCTCCCCACTGGAAACCCCTCCAGCAGGGACCCCGGAATCTTCATAGGGAACCCCCCGATCCTGTGGAACCCCCACACTCACCAGAGAAAGCCCCCATGGATCGTGCCCCAGTAGCCCCTGGGAGCAATGGATGAGCCCCTGTGTTCCCCTCACTCTTAGGAGGGACTCACAGACCCCACACTTCCTAAGGACCTCACCACCTGCATAGGTAGCTCCTGGCTTCCACACCTGCTCCTGGAAGCTAGAGAGAGACCCCACATAGCTCAGGCAGACATGGCTTCCTGCATCTCTTCCCCTGGATCCCACACCCCTGCCCTGGGGAGGGACTGACAGACCCACATCCCAAAGGGGAACCCCCAGATTCCATACCCCCTGCCCAGGGTGGTACCAACTAACCCCCTGCACTCCCTGTAGAGAAACCCCTCCAATCCCACATTTCCTGTCCTGGGGAAGGACCAACAAGACCATCCCTGCACCTCTCCCATGGGGAATACCCCCAACCTCCCTGTGCAGAATCCCTCCCTCAACTCACACTCCTCACCAGATGGGACTGACAGACCTCACATGCTCCCCACATTCCTCCCTGAGTGGGGAGGTGGTGCGGAGCAGAGGGGTGCAGTGGGGACTGGAGGTAGTGCAGAGTGGAGAGGATGCAGAGCAGGGGGATGCAGTGGGAGGTGGTGCAGAGTGGGGGGTAGAGTGGGGATGTGGTGCAGAGCAGGGGGTGCAGTGAGGGTGGTGCAGAGCAGGGGGATGCAGTGGTGAGGTGGTGCAGAGCGGAGGGATTCAGTGAGGCGGTGGTGCAGAGTGGGGCTGCAGTGGGAGGTGGTGCAGAGCAGGGGTTGCAGTGAGAAGGTGGTGCAGAGCGGGGGTGCAGTGGGGAGGTCATGCAGAGCAGGGGGATGCAGTGGGGAGGAGCGGGGGGTGCAGTGAGAAGGTCGTGCAGAGCAGGGGGTGCAGTGGGAAGGCCATGCAGAGCAGGGGGATGCAGTGGAGGGGAGCG